CCCCTGGCCCTGGTCAGCGAGGGAGAGGAAGCGGCTGCGGGTGGGAGCCGGGCTTAGGGGAGTTGCCCAGCTCCAGGAGGCCTGTAGATCCCTCCTCTCTACCCAGCCCTGGCCTGGTCCCCGCCATCTAGTCCCACCACGTCCTGCCCTGCCCATGCATCTCACTAGCAGCCACAGCTGAGCTCCTCCAGGACGCCCCGCAGGCGACGCTCCGGGTAGGACTTCTCTGTTTTGATCATCTCCTGCACATCATTCAGGCCTTCTTCCTGCGAACCAGTGTGGGGGTGCATGCTGAGCCTTCCCCCTCAGCCTCCCCAATTGCCCACCCACCCCTGAGGGCAAATGAGGGAGCTAGGGGCCTGGACCTCTGACCAGGACCATCCCTTCCCCCTAGTGTCTGTTCATCATGAGAAAGCAACCAGTTTCCCAGGTTCTAGAACCTGGAGACCTCGGTGTTCATGGGCTGGAAGGAAGCAGCCACCCTGGTGGACCTCCGGGGCAGGGCAGAGCTCAGGGCGAGATAGGGGTGCCCGGTACAGGGAGAGACAGAGGGGTTAACCAGCTGCCTCCAGGACCCCCAGGCGGCCACTCCAGAATCATGGGGCCCGGGGCAGGTGGGAACCAGGGTCCTGCTGGGGCTATTCCTGCACCCCGCTCACCACCCACAGCAAGCTTCTGGACAGACAAGGCCCTCTGACAGCACCCCTGTCCTGCCCGCCCCCATGCGGCGCCAGCCGGCCCTGACCAGCTTGTCTGCGATGTGCTCCATGATGTTGGCGTTGTAGAGGCGGCGGCGCTGGTCAGGCCACCAGCTCTTGATGTAGATGCAGGGCTTGCGCTCCAGGTAGGGCAGGTGGAAGTAGTTCCTGGGGTGGGAGGGAAGGGTTGGGGGCTGTGGAGAGGGGGGGGGGGGCCCGGGGGGGGGGGGGGGGGCAGCAGCAGGCAGCGGGGCCCACCTGTCCGTGATCTGGGGCCGCATGGGAGGGGTGGAGGAGACCGAGGCCAGGTCCCCGCCATCGTCAGCCTCCTCGTCACTCGAGTTCTGGATCAGGTCCACTTCCTCTTCGTCCCCAGGCTCCTTCCGGGGCCGAGGCCGCTGGGGTCGAGACATGCCGTCCACTTCATTCCCATAGTTGCCTGGAGGTGGGCCGGGGCCGTAGAGGGCCTAGAGTCCTTCCCCCAGCAGGCCCTGCCCACCACCCAGTCCAGGGTCGCCTTGGGCATGGGCGAGGGAAGAAAGTGGCTGTGGCCCACACCAGCTGGAAAAATGCCCAGCCCCGTAACGATCTCACTAGGCCCCATGTGGGCGGCACGCTCCCTGCACACGAGTGCTGTGTGGTGCTTGAGGACACTGGGAGAAGGAGGTCGGTGTTTCCCCTCCCTGGGGACTGGGGTGCAGGTCTAGCAGTCACCACCAGCCCCTTGCTGAAGACTCTCACGAGCCCAGCACTCACCTATGGTGACCTCGAAGGTGACTGGTTTGTCTCCATTTTTCCGGTCGATCATCGAGGCCTCCAGGAAGGCTCCGAACAGAAAGAATTCTTCTATTTTCCCTGTGCAGCTCTGTGGGGGCGGCATTCAGACCATCCCTAAACTCTACTGGGGACAAAGGCCCGGGGCCAGGCCTCCTGCTAATGTCTCAGGCAGGCCCTGGGGGCTGGTGGTGGAGGGCGGCCTAGCAGCTTAGATGCTGGACAGCCTGGACCCTCAGCCCCTGCAGGCCGGGTGTCCCTGGAAGAAGAGCCTACACCATAGGGACAGCTGTGGCTGGGAGGTGAGGCACTGACCCCAGACCTAGCGGCCACGTGGGGCCTCCAGGCAGAGTGCGAGTAGGCAGTGGATGAGGACTGAGGTTTGGTGAGGGGCAGGGTGGGCAGGAGGAGAGCCCAGGTCCCAGCTGTCACAGTGGGAGGGGGCTGAGCTAGGGGCCCGGGGGGTTGCCACAGCTGCCTGGGGCCTCACCTCCGAGACAGGCGTGGCCTGCTCCACCTGCACCTCTGTGGAGCTGGTGAGCTCGGGATTGGAGGTGTCCAGGATCTCTACTGCCAGGCCCAGCATGAGGCGGGCACGGAAGGACACGCCCTCCCCCAGGCCCTCGTTCAGGTCCTGGTGCTCATCCAGCAGCGTGTAGTTGCGGGTGGAGCCGTACATGTTCACCCAGGCTGGGCCCAGCGTGGGCAGGAAGCCTGCAGGCGGGAGAGGGAGGAGCCCATCACCTCCAGGGCTCACCCAACCAGAGGGACCTCTCTGGAGGCTCCTGGCCTCCACCTCCTGGTTGCTGGGCCGAGGACTCCATGTGGCCGCTGCCTGCTATGTGCTGTCAGGCGTGGGGTAGCGTCCTCATATGTGTCCTCGAACCCAGCACCTTCCTGGGTCCTGTTACCCTCTGTGGGGACCTGGGCTGTGGTGGGAGGCAAAACCTCATCCTTGCTTCCTTGGTCCTGGAGCAGTGCTGCCCCCTGTCTACTTACAGTCAGATGCCAGCTCGTTGCATCTCCTCTGGGCCTCTGGACCCGTGCGGCTTTGCAGATATACGGCTCTCCATGCTTCTCAGCTGGCTCATGCAGACCCTCCCTCCTCTCTGGGCATGCCCCCCATCTGTCTCTGCCTGTTAAACACTTCTCCGGAAGCCCTCCCGGCTAGAATTTGTAGGCCTCACGTGTAGTGCGGACCCAGTTCTGCAATGGGTGCTTGTTTGGTTTTTGTTCTACTTGAAAAGAAAATAGCATTTGAAATTTGAGATATACTACACATCAGACAAAATGCACCATTTTAAAGTGTACGAGAGAGGCAGGTGTGTGTGTGGGTGGGGAGTAAGGGTCAGAGATAGAAGTATTTTTGACAAGGTCTTGCTGTATCCCAGTCTCCCAATTACCTAGAATTACAGGTGCTTCCAACTGCACCCCGCTTGTTCAGGTTGGCCAGGGGATAGAACCCAGGCTCCCTGTGTGGGTGCTAGCTTCCCAGCTGGTGGTGTTGCCTGAGTGCAACAGTGGCGGGACCCGAAGTGCACATCTTAGTATATTCACTGTCATTGCTATGTTTCAGATCATGGTTTCCCCCGAGCGTTCCTGCGTTGTAATCTGTTTCCCTAGTGTGTTGGCACTGGAAGGTGGCGAGACCTTTAAGGGGAAGACCAGGCTTCAGGGTGGGCGGGCAACTTGCCAGGCGAGACTGGCAAGACTGGCGTGGGAGGAAGTAAACGGAGAAAGGAAGACCTGCCTTCAACACAGCAGGCGCCATCTGATTGCTGGGAGTGTAGAAGGGGCAGACGGAGAAAGTGGGAAAGTCTGTTTCCCCTCCTCCCTCTCTCCTGCTCCTGTCGGCCATGTTGGGTTGCTGGCCCCACACCCTTGGACTTGCCAGTCACCAGAATTGTGAGCCGAATAAACCTCTGTTTCCTGTAAATCATCCGCTCTCAGGTATTTCTGTTCTACAACACAATAATGAACGGAGACAGCTGTGCGACCATCACCTAATTCAGATAATTTCCTTCCATCCCAGCAGAAACCTACACCTATTAGCAGTCAGCCACCACCACCCCTCCCCGCATCCCCTGAAATCTACTTCCTGCCTATGGATCTGCCTCCTCTGGATATTACATAGACATGACAGATGATATGTGGCCTTTCATGCCTTCTGCCTTACGTTTTGGCCACTGGTTAGCACGTCCGTCTCGTTTATTCACACTGAGCACTTTAAGGAGAGGAACTGAGTCTCCTCCCACTCTGTATCCTTGGTACTCAGCACAGGCCTGGATCCCAGGAGGTGGCCGAAGCTCACAAGTTACACCTGGCTTCAAAAACTCTGTGGAGGAACCAACAGTTAGCGTAATGGCTATGCCGCTGAACTCCCATGTAGCCAACCCCAGTTCAAGTCCCAGACCCAGTGGCTTAAACTCACGCCGGGTGTGTATGCGTGCGCGCGTGCCCAAGATCCCGAGGGGAGAATGGAGGAGAAGGGATTGCTGTGTGGCCATCCCCCCTGAGGGGAGATTTCTCACTTTCTGTCTCTCTGTCTCTCTCTGTCTTTCTGGCGAGCACATGGGCCCTATAGAAAAAACCTCTCCAAAAAAAAAAAAAAAAGAAAAGAAAAGAAAAGAAAACCATGCATGGATTTCTTTTTTTTTTTTACACATCAAAATGAACTCATACTAGGGGCCAGCAGGTGGCCTGGTGGTTAAGGTGCTGGACTGCAACATGGCCAACCATTGTTTGAGTCCTGGACTCAGAGGCTTAAAACTTCTGCTGAGTACGTGTGTCTGTGCCCCAAATCCTGAGAGGTAAGTGGAGGAGAAGGGATTGTGGCATGGTCATCCCCCTTGGGGGAGATTTCTCATCTGCTCTCTCTCTGTCTCTCTGGTAAGTGCACATACCCTATAGCAAAAAATCTCTCTCTTAAACAAAGAAAAAAGAAAAAAAGAACTCATATTTTTAAAAAAATTGGTAGGTGTGTGTGCTTGACAGAGAGACAGAGAGAGAAACAGAGGAGAAAGCCCCCACCCCCCGTGAAAGTGATCAGACCATAATCCCTTCTCTTGGTGTGTTCCTCAGACCATGCAGTTGACCGCTGGTGGGCTCCAGCTGCCTCAACCACCGGGCTACAGGGCTGGACCTAAATCACACTTGAATTACATTTTCCCGCCAACTTTGAAGTCCCTGCGTAGATAGGTGCTATTACCACCATCAACTACTGCACGTATATACGGCAATTATGAATACTGCTGGCCCTTGAAACTCACAGGGGATTGGTTCCAGCACCCCCTCGAGTACCCATACCCATAGATGCTCTGGCCACCTACAGCTCTTAATACCCACAGGCTCCATATCTGCGGCTGTGGAAGAAATTCCATCCTCGATTGATCCCACAGATGGAGAAAGTGCAGGTGCAACTCTATATTCTGTAGTCACTGTATAGCGATGCTACAATGATTGCACTATGTAATTACTGTTTCCATTGTACGGATGGGGAACAGGAGCGAGGTCACACTGCTAGCAGCCACATCCTGGCTGTCGGGCTCAGGCAGGTCCGGTTAGATCCTACCCCTATCCCTTGAGGCATGGGCTGCTGACCAGACCCCTGAAATGCCTGTTGGGCAGAGGTCCTGGAAGAAGGTGGTGCATGAGGTGGTCTCATTACTCCTCCCTCAGGCCACTGCCCACCCGGGGCCTTCGCCACTCCCGGTTGCCTGTTGCTGACCTTTGTCTCCATCATTGGAAATCTTGCGCAGGTCGATGAAGTGGGTGCCGATGGCCACATCGTTGACCTTGTCCGAGTCCCGAATCTGCACCTTCATGCGTTTGCAGAGTGGGGGAAAGAGGTCTGTAAAGACAACCTGCTCATTCCACAGTGGCTCGTAGCTGCTTTTCTGCACCGACGTCTTGCCCTGGTGGGAGAGAGAGAGAGGAGGCCCAGGGCGTGTGTGTGTGTGTGTGTGTGTGTGTGTGTGTGTGTGAACTTGTCTCCTCCACCCTGCCCCCCAGTCTCTCAGACTCTCCCTGCGTGTGTGTGTGTGTGTGAACTTGTCTCCCCTAACCCGCCCCCCCCCAGTCTTTCAGACTCTCCCCGCGTGTGTGTGTGTGTGTGTGTGTGAACTTGTTTCCTCTAACCCACCCACCAGTCTCTCAGACTCTCCCCATTCAGCTCTTGGTCCGAGGACCCCAGCAGCGGGGAGGGTCCTCTATGCCCCTCCTGGGTGAAGATGATTCCCTCCAGCCCCACTCACAGTGGGAGGCTTCTGATTTCATCACCTGTCTGTTCCTGGGCCCCTGTGTCCTTCACCTTGCACCTCTGTGATCTGACACCCACTGCCCCAGCCTCTTGCACCTCATACCCAGTACCTTCTGGCCGGCAAAGAAGACTTGCACATAGGGGTCCACGAGGTCCTTGTTTTCGCCAATGAAAGCCTTCTTCACGTTGGCCATGAGGCTTGTGTTCATACGGGGCAGCCCCTCTGCTCGGTAAATTTTCACATAGAACCGGGCCCACTGGCGTTCTGGGGGGACCCCCTCAGGGAGCAGCAAGTTCCTGCCAGTGTAGACGACCAGGGTCATGACAGCCAGATCTAGGGCTAGAACCTGTCCTGGCACCTGCACAACCTTGGGACCCAACATAACCTGTGAAGGATGGCTGGGAGGGTCTGGACTTGGATTAAGAGGCCCAAGTTCACGGCACTCATTCACCTGTGGGATCCTCTGCAAATCTCCCCTCTGGTTAAGCTGTAGATTCCCCACTGCTAAGGGGGCATAGTAATACCCGTCATTATAACACCTAATCCCAGGAACAGGATCAGGCTCGGATTGGTTAAAATGTATGTGTGTGGAACTGGAGGGGGTATGGCGATTAAGGTGCTGGATTCCCACATTGACGATCACAGTTCAAGTCTTGGACCTGGTGGCTCGAAACTCATATTGGGCCTATGTGCATATGTGCCCCAAATCCTGAGCAAATGGAGGAGACAGGATTGCAGGGTGGCCATCCCTTGGGAGGTGGTTTCTCATTTTCTGTCTCTGCAGTGAGCACACACACCCTATAGCAAAAAATCTCTCTCTCTCAAAAAAAAAAAAA